CTGCCAGGCACCGCGTGGAGTGTGCAACACTCAAGCTTGTACACGGAGGACCATTATCTGCTCGTGATGCAACTGGGTGCAAGGGGGAAATCATAGCTCAGTGCTGGCCAGGTTAAATATGAGATGCCACTAGCCACCCAGGAGAAGGCGCTGTATAGACGGACGGAGGTGCCTCTCTGGTGCTCAGGACAGAGGTCTGCATGTCCTCACTGGATCATTATAGGCTTGGATGAGGTCGCTCAAGGACCTCTATTGAAAGGAGAGTGGTACTTCTAATGTGCAGATCTGTGAGGTGCTTACGCTCAGTGGGTGGGACCAGCAAGGTGCCTAGGCATCAGAATTCCAGGGGACACACCCTCTCAGGGTCGCCTGAGTGCAGAGTGCTACTTTAAGTTTTGTGTCTCCTTAAGTCTCGTCTCAGTCCTGGGCAATTCAGTGGAGAAAGGAGAAGTCATCATAATAAATAATGCTGGCACAATTGGACATCCATTTGGGAAAGCAAAGAAAAAAAAATCTCAAGCTTTACTTCACGACATATATAAAAATGAAAATAGGTCATAGACCTGAACATAAAAGCTGTAACTATAAAACTTCTAGGGAAAAAAAGGGAGAAAATCTTCATGACCTCGAGGTAGGCAAAAATTCCTCAGATAGGTCATGAAAAGCATAATAAAAGGAAAAAAAGATCAATTAGATTTTATCAAAACTAAGAACTTTCCTGTGAAAAACACCATTAAAAAATGAAAACACAGACTAAGAGAAAATATTTACAGTACTCATTCCTGACAGAAAACTTGTATCCAAAACACATACAGAACTCTTACAAATCAATAATAAAAAGCCAATTGATCCAATGTTTTTAAATGGGCAAAAGATTGGAACAGACCCTACACAAAAGAAAATATACAAATGGCAGTAAAGAATGGCAAGCAGAAGAGACATTCAATATCACTAGCCATCAGGGAAACGCACATCTGAACCCTAATTAAGGACCAGTTACACCCACTAGAACAGCTAAATTAAAGACAGTGGGAGTGTCAGCTTCTGGTGAGACCTGCAAGACCACGTCTGCCCTTCTGCTAGCGATGAAAGAACCGGGCCGGAGAGAAGGAGGAACTTGTCCGAGGCCCCACAGCCTGATGGAGCCATTGACTACATGGCGCTGCTTGAGGGCGTTTGGGTTTAAAACATAAAAACAAAACAAGCGAACAGATAGACATCCTCAGCTCGCTTCCTGTCTTGTCTCTCTTTCTCTTCATGGCTGAGTCCCAGGAGAGGTGTGGGTTCCCCACAAGCGAGGCTGGGCCTGCCGGGCGGGTCCCCGCAGAGCGTTGTCTAGAGGAGACGTCCACTCCATCGTCACCAGGGCGGCGAGGGCTGCAGGGGCGAAGGCTCTGCTTCTCGGCTGAGCCGCCTCGTGCAGGTTCCTCCACCTTCATCCTTGTCCTGCCTGTCACCCAGGGTCCTCGCAAGGAGAAAATGAAGACATGGACGTCTGCTGTCACCACGCTTATCAAATCTAGTGCTGGTCAGTGCAACAGGCAAGGCAAGGAAATAAACTCTAGGTCACCGGAAGAAAGCGATAGAATAAATGATATTTCTGGAGACCATAGCCCCTCTCCTTATCCGCGTGGGTGTGTTCCAAAACCGCCAAATATATGCCTGGAACCTCGGATAGCACCAAGCCCTATATATAAACTACGTTTTTTCCTATACATATGTACCTTTTCACTTACGGGAAGCACTTTTTGTCTTCTCTTTGGCACGTCTGATCACCAGCAACACTACTCTTGCACTTTGGGACCATTATTAAGTAAACTAAGGGTGACCTGAACACAAGCACCGCGACAGAGTGGCAGCCAGTTTCATAACTGAGACGGCTGCTAAGGGGCTAAGAGGTGGAGGGCAGACAAAGGGCCGATTCACATCCCACGCCACACGAAACGGGATGGCGCAAGGTTTAGTCATGCTACTCAGAACAGAGCACGACTTCAAACTTAAAAATTGTGTATTTCTGAAATTTTCCATTTAATGCTTTCGGGTGGCAGTCGACCGCAGGTAACCGAAACCAAGGGAAGAGAAACTGCCAATGAGGGGGGCGAGGTGGGCCAGCAACGAACGTGTGAACCTCGAAATGAAAAGCACGATACCATTTAGAATCACTGAAAAAAAAAAAAAGAGAGAAAGAAACACTGAAATGTGAATTTAACAAACGTGTCCAGGAATTATGTGCTGCCGACTACATCAAAGATGTCAATAAATGGAGACGTATGCCGCCTTTCTGGATTAGAAGACTCGCAGAGTAAATATGTAATTTCTCCCCTGTTTGATACATAAATTTAACAGAATCCCACCCTAGCGGGACTTTTTGTAGATACGGACAAACTTATTTTAAAATTTACATCGAAAGACAAAACAGAACTAGAGTAGGTGAAAACACTTTCGAAAAAGAAGAATAAAGCGAAAGGAATCAGTCTACCCAATTTCAAGACTTATCATCCAGCTAGCGTAGTCAAGAATGTGGTATCAGCGAACAGACAGACACATAGATCAATGGGACAGAATAAAGAACCCAGAGATAGACCCACACAAACAGGCTGGATTGATTCTGACAAGAATGGAAAAGCCATTCAGTGGAGGAAAGATGGTTTTTTTGACAAGTAGTCCATAAGCAAAATATGAACCTCTACAGAAGTCTCACACCTGATATAAAAATTAACTCGAAATGGATCATGGACTTAAAATGTAAAACATAAAACAATAAATGTTTTACAGAAAAACACAGGAGAAAATCTTCAGGACCTAGAACTAGGCAAAGAGTTCTTAAGAGTTGACACCGAAAGTACAATTCATAAAAGTAAACAATAAACTGGATGTAATCAAACTTTAAAACAGCTCAAGCAGTCGGGAGGAGGGAGCATTCGACTTTCCTCCTCCTTTAAGTCTTCCTCAGGCCCTCGGGGGTTTGATGGTACCTCCCACATCCGGGAGGGCCACCTGCTTTGCTCACCAATTCAAATGGTCATCTCTTCATGAATATCTTCGTGGACAAATCCAGAAATAATGTAAACCAGCTATCTGGAACTCCCATGGCCTAGTGAAGTTGACACATAAAATTGACCATCACAGTAACTAAGTCAGAAAAGCATTAACAAGGGGAGAGACAGACAACCATTGGAACAGAACAGACAACAGAGAAACAGACCTGCACCTGGATGGAAACGTAACAAGTTTGGTGTTGCTAATCAACCCCAAAGAGAGAAGGCTGGAACGGCTGATGTAGGGGCTGGGATGTTGACTATTAATGCAGGAAAAATGAAATTGCTTCCTTAACCATTACCACTAAATAATCAGTTATAAAAAAGGCTGAAATACAAATAATAAGAAGCTACAGGAGAGTATCTTTATGGCCTCAAGTTGGGAAAGGATTCCTTAAACAAGGGTTAACTGTACAGGAAAATATTAATAAACTTTGACTAAATTAAAATTAAGACCTTTTGTTCTGATGTGTCTTCTTATAAGGGCACTAACCCCAACACAAGAGCTCTCCCTACTTGCTTCTCAAAGGCCCCATCTCTGATTACTATCACACTGGGGATTAAGGTTTTAACGTATGAATTTTGAGGGGAACACACACATGCAGTCTCTAGCTGTCAGTAAGGCACTTGAGAAAGCTTGAGAGTCCCTAGGCACACCCCTCACAGGGGCTCATGATGACCGTGGGGAAGGAGGCCCTGGGAGGGATACCACCGGGAGGGACAGAGTCATGAGACTGGGCAGAGCACAATCCATTCCCTACCAGGGGGCCCTCGGAGGAGGGTATGGCTCTCACCTGCTCTTCTGCAGATGAGCTATTAAGTCTGGGGTGCGTACACAGACACAGACACCCACACGCCCCCCCACACACACACCCACACACCCACACACAGACACAAAGACAGACACACACACAGACACACAGACACACACACACAGACACAAAGACACAAAGACAGACACACATACACACAGACACACACACAGACACAGATACACACAAAGACACACACACACACACAAAGACAGACACACAGACACACACACACAGACACACACACAGACACACAGATACACACAAAGACACACACACACAGACACAAAGACAGACACAGACACACACACACACACACAGACACACACACACAGACACACAGACACACACACAGACACACACACAGACACACACACACAGACACACACACAGACACAAAGACACACAGACACAGACACACACACGCACACACAGACACACACACAGAGAGACACAAAGACACACATACAGAGACACACACGGGAACAGGCCCCTTGGGGCGTCTCTGCTGTCGTCCTCAGCTCTGGCATCTGCACCATTTGGGACCCTCCTGTGTCGTAAGGGAAGATCACGGCAGAGCCGCAGGGCCCCGTGGTGCAAGCTGCACATCTATTATGTTATTGCCACGTCAGAAGTCACATCTCCTTAAGACACTACGGACCAGGTACATGATCTCCTTTAATTCTCAAGTTCTGTTTTCTCTATTTTACAGATGACAAAATCCAGGCTGCGAGGGACGCTAACTTGCCCAAGCCACACAACAGAGCAGAGCTAGGATTTAAACGTCCTTCTGCCCAGTTCCCGAGCCCGGAGCTCGCGGGGCTCTGGGCAACAAGTTGGCACGGACAGCCGGTCACCCCCGCCCTGATTCTCGCGCCCGGAGCAAGGCGTCCCTGCCCCAGGAGAGCGGCGCTGGTCGCCCTTGGCGGGCTGGGCTCCACGGCACGGGCGGCAGTAAGAGCCCTGGACTTGGATTCCAGGCTGGTTCCAGCGCCGACGAGCTGGGCGACCCCAGGCCTCAGTTTCCCCACGCAGCCCACACTGGGACAGGACTGAGTGCTGGGGTTTCGCCGGCCCCGCCCTCGGGGGTGGGGCTGGGAGTGGTCACGTGGAGGGGAGCGGGTCCCCGGAGCCCCGCCCCGCCCCGCCCCGCTCGCGCACCCCTGGGCCTCCGCCCCATCGCTGTCTGGAGCCGCGGGCGCTGGGCCAGCCGAGGGCGCCGATCCGGCTGGGGACGCGCCGCTGCACCGGGGCTGCTGAGGTCCGGGGACGCGTGCTCGCTGCTCGGCCCGCTCCGGGCCAGCTGTGCAGGCGGCTGGACCATCAGCAACGAAGACTCGAGCGCGGGCGGCGGCAGCAGCCGAGGCAACAGTGACACCATGGATCTGTCCTTTATGGCCGCGCAGGTAATGGGGCTACTTTCGTGCGCGCCCCGGGCCGCCAAGTTTGGGCAGGTTCGGGGCCAAGGTCTCGCCCTCGCCGCCGGGGTTGGGCGCGCCGGGAGGGTCTGGCCGGGAGGGGTCCGGCCGGGAGGGGTCTGGCCGGGAGGGGTCTGGCCGGGAGGGTCTGGCCGGGAGGTTTCTGGCCAGGCGGCGGCGCCCGCCCGCGGTTCTCGCTCCTGCCCTTTGTCCGGAGCCCGGCTTTCCCACCTGGTGCGCGCGTCGTGGGTGGAGAGCTCGGCTTCCCGGGGGTGCGGCGGGCTGTGAGCATTGAGCTCAGTGGATTGACTTGTTCCCAGGGTGCGAGGAGCCTGAGCAGCGCGAGTCGCCTCTACCCTGCCCATCCCCCACACCCCTCCCATCCTCCACCCGCTGTCCCTGTACGGAGCCCCCCAAGGCCGGGCAGCCCAGATGCATGCAAACCCAAGTGGGCGGGCAACCTCGCTTTCTCATTCTATATCTTCCCGAGGTGCCGGGCAATCTCTGACTTGCTCCCCACCGAGCTTTTCTCCCCGCTTTAAGCGGAGAACACAGCCGGAGCGAGCGAGGCGAGCGGGGCGGTGGATCTGCTCCGTGTCCAGACAAACGCCCGAGCGCTCGCCGCGATCGCTTTGTCCTGTTTTGCTTTGTGCTGAGTCTGTAGCAGTCAGTGCTGGCGCGACCATAACTCTTCCCTGGACACAAAACAGGTCCCCAACGGCAGGGAAGACAGATGACCGCTCATCGCTTTATCTTTGCTCCCCGAGAATCCCCTTGAGTCGTGAGGTTGGGCGATCTTTCTGTTTCCCTGCTCAGCTGTCTGGAATCAGAACAAAGGCACACACCCGTCTGCGGCCTTGGGGAGGACCCGGTGCCGACCATGGCCTGCCTGGCTCCAGGGAAGAGCCGCATTTGGTCTGGGAGAGCAGGTCCCAACCTACCAGATTGCACCTTCTATGGGGTTGGTGGTGTTGGGGTCGGAAAGGCAAGAGGCCCCCGAGGTCCTCTGGGTCCACGCTGGGTGTGTGGCAGGGACCTCGCTTGTTGCTGTTTAATTTTCCAGGAAATGCATTTCGAGGGGACGTTTCCTTTCTCCCCAAACTTCACTGCGGTGGAAGCCTGTTTAAAAAGTAACAGCCTAATCCAGGCTGTAGGGACAGCCAGTCCCCAGACGCAGGCTTGAAAGGATGTAGAATCCCCAAGTTGGCTCGGAGAACCCAGATCCAGCTCCTCGCAGCCTCTTAACACACTTTCCATAATGCTCATTGTTCCCATGAGCAAGGCTAACCTTTTTTGGCCTAATTTTTCTGTCTCCTGCTCTTGTACCCATGTTTATGAATATTGTCATGTGGACATCATTTTAAATAGTGGTGCGTTTAGCTACACAATAAGTAAGGAGGTTCCGCCAGATTTATTTTTGGAGAGGAGAGGCACTCACACAGCATTTCCCTCTGGATCCCACTGAACAACTGGTGTTTCTATGGTTAAAAACTAAATTGATCTCTGCTCACCCTGGGGCTGGCTGGAACACCACGAGTTGCTATGGTAACTTGACTGAATAAACAGAGAGCCTGCACAGAGATTGGGTGGTTTTTTCTTTTTCCCTGTTGTTTACCATTCAAATGTCCTATGGTTAATTTATTCCCCTGGACAGCTGTTTGGGCATTAGGCACATGCTCCTCGGTCCTGAGCTGGTAGAAAGGAACAGCATAGAGAGACACGATGGGTAGAGGCGCTAAGGTTTATTGAGCACCTGCTGTGTGCCAGACACTGGGCACTTGCACACTTTATTACGGTAAATCTCTACAAGTCTACGCCCCAGGCGCTGCTGTCCAGAATATCGAACTTCAGTGAGATTAAATAATTCACCCGGGACCCGCCGTTAGTGAGAAGGAGAACTGGGTTTCAGGTGTCCACTTCATTGCTTCACCCTGAAGACACACCGTGAGGGCCAGGGCCGATGTTTAAAATGACAGCCCTCGGTCCCCCGGGACGTGGTCTTGCTGTGGTGGTTGCTTTCTCAGGCCGCTCTGTTCCTCTTGTCCCTGCAGGCGTGGAGACTGTTACTCCTTAAACTGTGGCATTAGCAGTGCTCGGGTCAAGTTCAGAGCTCAGCACGTGATCCGAGCATGCAGTGACCACCACGTGAGCAGGGCTGAGTCACTGTCCCCACATGCATCAGCAGCGGGCAGTATGATACAGAAATGGTAGCGCCTCTACCCACTTGTCCAGTGAATGTTGAGTACCTCCCTTGTGCCAAGCTCCATGTCAGGCACTGGAATGGGGATGCTGGGGGACGGAGCTGAATGGGGTGTAGATTTCTGGGTGCTCACAGAGTATTGGAGAAATGATGAGCCAGGCCATTCCCATCAAGGGCGACCAAGATGGCCGGCACATAGTAGGCCCTCCACGAGCGTCTGTTAGGTGATTGGATGAGGGCAAGACAAGGTGTATGTGCATGAAAAGACACTCCCAGGAAAAGTCAATAAATTTGAGACATCAAATGCTCTCCTCTAGAACACCTGTCATCATCAGGCCTTTGAGGATGGAGGTTCTGATGGATGAGGATGGGCAGATGTCCCCTGGTGAGCTTGAGAATCAGGGCGTTCTAGGCAGAGCTATGAAGGAGGGAGGCCCGGAATACATTCACGGAATCCTCCAGATAGCTGGAAGGCAGGGGGCACAGGAACGCTGAGATAAAGGCCAGGGCCAGGTTACAGAAGGTGCTGACTGGTGGGCATGAGAAGTCCACTTTCATTGGTAGGCAGAAGGATCCAGGGCACAGTCTGTTTCATCCTCTCTCTAAGCTTCACAGTGTTGCTTCTGACCTTGGCTTGCGGATGCATCACTTCAATCTTTGCCTCTGTTGTCACTTGGCATCATTCCGGAGTCTCTTTGTGTCTCTTCTCCTTTTCTTATCAGGACACAAGTCATATTGGATGAGCGTCCCCAACAATGACGTCGTCTTAACCTGTTTACATCTGCAGAGATCCCGTTTTCAAAGGTCACATTCACAGGCACTGGGGCTCGGAGTTCAAGTCTGTCTCTTTGGGAGACATAATTCAACCAATGACAGGGTCTGAAGTCCCGTAAAGAGTAAGGTTCTCGGTTCTTTTGTTAGTGGCCGCTGGTCTTAGGGAGGCAGCAGACACATCACTTCTCTAAGCCTTAGTTTCATCACCTGTGAAATGGGAACAGAATTGCTTTGCTCACGGAACCATCCATCTAGTCATTCAGCACATGTTACCTGCGCGCCAGGCCCTCCCACTAACAGAAGAACCAAGATCCTTATTTTTCATGGGTCTTCAGACCCTGTCATGGGGGAAGGAGTGGGAGATGAAGCCAGGGAGACTGGGGCCAGGCGGGTGACCTCATGGAGTGGAGCAGAGTGGGGTGGAGGCTGTGGGGGCTGGGGGAGCAGGGGCCTGGCCTGGAGGGAGGCGTATGTGCCCTCCCTGAGCTCCAGCTCACCACTCGTGCCTTGCGGACACACAGGTCCGGCTCTGCAGCTTCTTCTGGGTTTCCAGGAAAACTTAAAATTCTGATTTTCACATGCATTCTGGATTTTTCCATCTTGGCAACTAATTAAAAAATTTTAATAAACCAACCGACCGTGACGTGAGCTGTTTCAGTCATTTATTGCTTATTATTTCCGTGAGTAGCGTAAAGCAGTAATTTTTATTTTGCTCGCAGTTTTGTGGGACCAGAATTTGGGAAGGGCTCAGGCAGTTTGTTTCTGCTCCGACGGCATCAGCTGGGGCTGGACCTTCCCACATGGCTTCTTCACACACGTGTCTGGCCCCTCTGCGCGGCTCAGCCATTCTCTCCGCTCGGCATTTCATCGTGCAGGCATTTTCCCCAGGCATCTGGGGCTTCCTCCCGTATGGCGGCCGCAGGCTCTTTGCACTTCATGTGGCACTGCCTGTCCTCCAAAAAGCGTTCTCAGGTGGAAGCTGCGAAGCTTGTCACCGAGCTTTAGAAGCCCCAGAGTGTCACTCACTACATTCTTTTAGTGAGGAAAGCCCAAAGGCCAGCCCAGGTGTTTGGGGAGGGGAATCAGAGTTCACCTCTTGACTGATGTGGGGAGCAGCATGCCTGTCCATCCGAGAGGGAGAGAAGGAATGGCTGGTGGCCCCCTTGGGGACTAGCTACTCCGTGGACCAAGCAGAGCAGGTGTGTGGGCTGGATTCATCCTGGGACCGCCCCAGTGTAATGTCTCTAAACTGTCAGGTGTGTATAGAGCTTGACAAAACCTTGCAGTCGATGAATGGGAGAGAAGTAAATTATTGCTAAGAAGCAGGCTGTGGCTTTGTTGATCTGAACCACGTGAAGCTGCAGGTGTTTGACCATTTTTGGTCTACAAAATGACAGTTTTACGTGGTTCAACTTAATGTGTACTATTTGGTAAGATATAAGTTCCTCGCGTTATGGAGGGAAGCGGGGCCGTAGGACGTGGGGCGGAGTGAGGAGACACGGGCAGAAGGGTGGGGAGATCCCTACCCGCCGGGGAGATCTGAGCAGGCTTCCCGTGTCTGAGGAGCAGGTCCAACCCCCTCCCCCACTTCTCCCCTCAGCCTGGCTCTTAGAACCTTGGCCTTGCTGGTGGAAAGACAAGGTCACACCTGGCACATCACGTTGGCTGGGTGGACCCTTCTGGAAGACAGCATGTGCAGTCTAATCTTAGCTGAGCTGCAGATACACCTCCCACCAGTCCTCCTTCCAGCCTTCCCTCCTCCTGAACCCCTTGGAGGCTCATAGTTAATTTGCATTTTAATCATTTTGCATGGAAGGGGAAAAAAAACACAAAACACATCTGGTAGTGTTGAAGAGAATTTGCATTTTAATCATTTTTCATGGAAGGGGAAAAAAAAAAACACAAAACACATCTGGTAGTGTTGAAGAGGATTCTGTTATCTCTTGAAATGGTCATAGCTACACTCGGGTCCTGTGAGGTCAGCTCCAAAGCATCTGCAAGAAACCAGCAGTCC